GTATATTTATTTTCCTCCCACAAAGGGAGGGTTAGTGGCTGATAAGATTTGGAAGGATTTAGAATCTCTTCTGGATCAAACAACTCAGAAAATGCCAAATGCATTTATCTTTATTTGTGGGGACCTTAATGCCTATATAGATGCAGCCTCAGAGAGGCTTTTGTTACTGCTGGGTTTAGGTTTAAATGTTTTTCTAGCAGCTCATACCCCTATGGATGTTAAATACAATCAGCAAGTATTAAGATTTTTAGAGTTTGTATATCATTATAATCTACATATAATTCATGGAAGTTCCATGGACCAATCTGAAGGTTATTATACTTATATGCAAAAAAATGGTGGTAGTGTTATTGACCATGTTATGGTCTCTCCTTCACTATTTTCCCTAGTAAACACCTTTCAAGTACTTGATCGTGTTGAAAGTGACCATTTTCCAATTTCACAGAATCATAGAAGGGTTGAGAGAGGCCATGAAGGTCATCGAGTCCAACCCCCTGCTATTGCAGGACACCATGTTACACCATCCCCCTCAGGGGTCAGTCCATTTTCTTTTTGAATGTTTTTAGTGTGGGCGAGCCCACGACCTCTTTAGGCAGCTGGTTCCACTGTTGTATTGCTCTGACAGTGAGGAAGCTTTTCCTGATGTCCAGCCTGGGGGTTAGGGTTTCTTTAGTGTCTCTTTGCTGAATAATTGAATGTGTAATATTTACAGAAACAGCAAATTTGACAGGGAGAAATGCTTGGTGAGAAAAGATTAAAATGGTCACACAGGCTGATTAGTACTATAGCCATAATATGAATTTCCATCAATTATTTTGGAACAAGTCAGTTAATCATTTAGATAATCTTCAACAAATTATTGTAGAACTTGGGCCCTATGTAATGCCATCTACTAATCAAAGTAGATCAGCACTGCATTCTGGTTGGCTTGATGCTGAATGCAGAGTAGCAAAACATGACCTGTCTAGAGAATTAAGGTAATTCCATCAGAACGTTAAGGAACTCATGGGAACACTTATTCTTATGAGTTAATAGGAAGCTGCTTAAAATCAAGAAGGAAAAATATATGACAATGCAATGGCAGGAACTAAACTGGCAGTGTCAGAATATAATGAGGCTAAGTTCTGGGAAATTGTTTCTCCAGGTCTAAACAAGGCAACCTTTACTCAAGATGCTGTAATTACAGGTTGAACTTGAGTGAATTATTTCTCCAATGTCTTTGGTGCCCAGCTTTGGCAACCATGTGTCACAGGAGAAAATCAAGATCTTTCTAGTTTACCAGAGTGGCAACTAGTTACTTGAAATGAGACAAAGTAACTCATCATTTACTTAGAACCAAAGAAAGCCCATGGAGAAGACATGCTTCTTCCAGAGTTTTATAAAGAATATTCAGAATGGTGGATGACAATTTTAGCTAGTTTATTCACCAAATTAAACACCACAAGATTAATGCCTCCTGGGTGGAAATTAAGTATTATCTTTCCAATGTGTAAGAAAGGTGACAGGAACAATCCACGAAATTACCAGCTCATTATTTTGCTAGGTATTTTCTCAAAGATATATTCATAATATCATCTTCAAAAATTATTAGACTGGCTACATATAAATCAAATTATACATTAAGAACAAGCTGGTTTTAGGAGTGGTCACAGCACCATAAATCAATATTTTACATTAAATTACTTAATTAGGAAATATACTAAAGACATCAAGAATTATCTTTATGTAGCATTTATTGATCTCTCATCTGCTTTTGCCTGTATTAACAGAAACAGATTATGGTAAAAGTTACAAAGCTCTAAGATTGATTGTAGACTCCTGATAAAGGGATTATATACCAATACAAAAGTAAGGATTAGGGTTGGGCTGAATGGTTCCTTAACTGAGGCATTTAAAACAACTCAGGAAGTAAAACAGCAATGTCTTCTAGCCCCCAGTCTTTTTAATATTTGTTTTTAATTTGGTGCTGTATATGGCACAAGTAAATTCTCCTTCTCCAGTAATTAGGAACAGAAAAACTTTATTTTGATGTATGCAGAGGATTTAGTATTAATTTCTTCCTTCCAGTTTGGTCTTGAAGAATTTTTAGAGGCATTTGGTACTTACTGTATACATGAAGACTTGTCAATAAATTACTCTAAGACTAAGATCATAGATGGGTGGTTCTTGATATAAACCACAAATACATCATTTGCATTCAAGTTGAAGACATTGTTCATTACATATTAATATGTCTTTTATATATGGACCCCAGAGAGATTCTTGAAACCCTTGCTATCATATGGATAGAGGAATGCCTTAGCAGAAACAGTTCTTTTTATTTTAAATGACAGTAATAGTTATGTGACACATAAGGTTGCTTTGATTGGCTTGGCAGCAAAAAAGATCAGGAAGAGAGAATTAGGCAAAATTGTTATAAACTGCATTAGTGATTCAGAGTTAAAAATGAATGTCTGTTCATTGTATATTTTAATGTATTTATATTGCTGAAATTCTTTATTTTGTTGCATTCATTTGATGTATTGGTTATGGCCTTTGTCTAGAACAATAAACTTTCTGAATTGACTTGGATAATCTAATGACTCAAATGTGCTAATTTACAACTAAATAGAGCATATAAAAGGCTTATATATTGTTGTAGATTCTGAAATTCAAACCATAAACTAAAGTGCAAGCACAAGCTGAGGTTTATTTATTTATTAAAAATTTTATAAGCCATCCCACATGTGTGACATCTTGGGAAGGCTCACAATCAATAAAATCAAATACCTTAAAAACAATCTACATATAACATATAAACATATAAAACACGACTGTAGCATTAAAATACTAATTTTTAAAATAATGGTTGAATAAAAAGGTTTTGACCTGGTGCCAAAAAGAGTATAAGCTCGGCACCAGGCAAACCTCTCTGGGGAGTGCATTCCATAATTTGGCAGATACTTATACTTAATCCTAGTTCAACTGTGACTAACAAATTAATAAATTACTATTAACAAGAGAACATTTAAATATATATAAATTTGAAGAAACTATACATAAACCTCCTCCTGCTTTAAAAAAAGCTGTCAGGGAAGCTTCAAAAATGACCTTGGAATAGTAACTTATGTAAATAAAAGTTGTGAACCAATGAAATATGTTTAGAGGATAAATCATTCGATAATCAAAACTGAAATATGGCATACATCTAAAATCTCAGCATAAATGTCATTTTGAAAAGATTAAAGAAAATGCAACATTTTTAATAAAAGAGAAGTTTAAAAAGAGGTTAAGGTTACTAGGCAATGGAAAAAACAATGCTGTAGAAGTTAGCTTGAGCAACAGAGTTTTCTCCTACTCACTGCACTCCCCCATCCCTGCCTGCTTCCCTGGTGGTAACAATTCCACCAACACAACTGCACTGGTTTCAACCCAAGAGTTAACGCTCATTGTTACCAAAAAAAAAAAAAAAAAAACCTCTTCCCATTAAACTGAGAATGTGGGATACAGAATATTCTCTATTAAAGCAACAGGTTTTGGTCAAAATGACTAAGAAATGAGCAAGAAAAAAATCTCATTGGTATTGTTATTAAACATAATTTAAATGATAATTAACATTAATTTTTAAGCATGTCAGCTTTAATTTCTAGAGCTGGAAGGGAAGCAATTTTCCATTTACATTGAATTGCAAATATACTTTTGGATTCAAACTGAAAAAAAGTATGATCTACCTTAACTTAAAAAAAAAAAAAATCAAACCGAGTGCACAGAGGACAGGGAGCATGAGCCTGTGCGCCATACCTTTATTCGAACATTGTACAATAGTGGTGGCAGGAGAGAATATTAATATGTAGTTAAGGCTAAAATCAATCCTGTGCACACGAAACTCAGTGGGACTTAGCTCTAAATAAGTAATGCATAGGATTGGCCTATAGAGCGTTAACAATAGATTATTAATCACCTAAATATCTTTTTTTGTTGTGAGCTTGATTTTTTGATTAGGTGGCGATTAAAACTTGCAGTCTAATCAAAAGGCAATCAAGCTAACAATAAGGGAATCTGAAAGAAAGCCACTAAGGACAACTCTTCTTGGATGCTTATGCATATAAAAATACATGCACACTTCCAAGGGGGAGCTGAGGTCCCATGGAGGCGGCTTCAAACCTGGAGAGTCTTCTGCCTCAAAGCACTATACTTTCCTTTCTCTTCCATTTTCCTTCCCATCTAAAACTATCCTCACATTGCTTTTTCATGCTTATTCACTAGGCATGAACATCTCAAAATAAAAAAGAAAGAAAAGCTATTAAAATCATAAAGTAATCCCAACAAAAATTACTTGCTGATATGGAGAAACGTGAATCAGAACCTTATTTTAAACAGAAGCCTTACTGAGCTGACAAAAACAACACATCTCTTTAATAAATATTCTCATGATCTCTTCCTCAGTCCTGTATTATTTATGAGTAAGTCTAACTTAAAAGCATGAATTACCAATTAAGGAGAAGACCATAATATAGTATTAACAAATATTAGTATACAATTAAATGCAATTATACCGTTATGCATAATGAAATTAAATATAAGCCTTAGTTACACATAACCTCAAGTAGTCTCATGTCACTGGAGATAATTTTACACGAATAATTTTATTTTAAAAAACTACATCGCGGTTCATATAGTATCCGCGAACACTGAAGAACGGAAGCTTTCTGAAAACAAGATCTGGGGAATCTCCATTCCACACAGAAAAGAAAAAGTAAGACTCTCTGCCTAGAGGCGACTGCTCCTTCTAGAGGGCACAAATACAACCCCACAACTTGTCTGAAAAGTGATTCTTTAAAGGAGAAAATGCAGCGGGAACATGTTTTCCAGAGGAGAAAATATTACAGCCCCCACCGCTCCACTCGCAACCTCCCTTTCCTCCTCAATACAGTCTTCCTTCCGGGCGGGATCGTACGTCGCTTCCGGATGGCCATTTTGTTGTTCTTAGCGTCCTATTAGGATGCTCTGGATTGCGAAGGGGGTGGGCTCTGTGCCGGATCTACCTACGGTGACATCGGCGGGGAACGAGGGGGGGCGATAGCAGCCGCCTTGGGGCGCTCAGCTGGAGTCGCTGTCCGCCGTCACCCGCGCACTGCAAGGCCCGCCAGCTTGGCCCTCGCTCGCCATGTCGGACTTCGACAACAATCCTTTCGCGGACCCGGACCTCAACAACCCTTTCAAGGTAAAGAAGGGAGGCGAGGAAGGGGCTGGCACGCCTGGGCCGCCGACCAGTCGGGTGTGTCGCTGGCAGGTCGGGTGGGAAGGGGGACGATTAGCTGGCTTCTTGTTTTTTGAAGTCATATAAATGCACCTGCAAGTTGTCCCGCTTGAGTTTGCGTGTCAAACACTGCCCCACCCCCTTCTCGCATCCTCCTCGCTCGCTGAAGCTGTGGCCTTTGCCGGTGAAACAGGATTGGCTGGTCGGCGGGCCGGCCGAGGCGTTTCTCTTGTACGGAGCAGAGCTCAGTTTTCCTATGGGCTAGGGCTTGAGCCTCCGCATCCACCTCCGGATCGTCCCTTCTCGCTGCGTAGCCCGTCTTGTCTTGGGGAAGGGACTCTTAAGCGAAGACTCCCACTCCTGTCCCGCAACTGGTTTTTTCCTTTACAAGGAAAGGTTAAAGCGGCACCCCTCGCACACACCTCCTTCTTGCAGGCGGGGTGTCCAGGTGCTTTTAAAAGCTGAAAGCGACAGGCTTTTGTGGCAGGGCGTGCTGCCCTCTGTTGTCAGGCTCTGCATCGGGCACTAGACCAGATAAGATATGTTACTCGTAACACCATCTTTTTCTGATCTCTATCTAGCCCAAGCCCTGCAATGTGAATATATTCACTGTCGTTTCCAAAGAATGCCAAGCAAAAACTAGGACTAATATCTTTAAATGCTATTTATTAATACTCTGTAAAGAAAATGGCTATAGCTGTTTTGTTCTAAATGTATTTTAAGCCTTTGTTGTATTTTGCATTATTGGTAAAAAGATGTGGTTCAGGATGCAATCCCATCCATTATCGTTTGGTCCAAGATGAAAGAACATCTAGTTTCCTACTAGCAAGTTCTTTCAAGGGTTTCATGGGGACTTTGTTTTTGTTTGAATTGGGCTTATTGATTCACTGCCTGGATTGTGAAATGTATAAGGTGTATGAGTAGCTTTTTTTCATGGGATCTGGTTGTATTTGCTGTACTAATTCCTTGTAATATTCATTTTTAACTATTTCCCCAGCAACTGTCAATGCTTTCCTATTTAGATAATTATAAATGTATATATAGCTGCAATGCAGCTCATAAATCTTGAGTTAATATGTATAATTTCAGGCAGATGGGCAAAGTTGTAGAAATACTTGCATAGATAGTAGCCACCAAAATGGTTAGTTCCAAAATATGCTCTTCCACCACCCTGCATCATTCTAATTGTTTTATGCCCATCCAGTTACTATGGTTTACACCACCAAAATATTGGAGTAGCTTGGTGAGGGTGATCAGAATTCACGGTTGGTGATCTCCAAACTTCAGTTCTTGGAGGTGAATGGAACGATGTAATGACTATTAAGCCAGTTTAAGTCTGCAACGTTGTGGATCATTCTGAAGATCATGATATCCTAAAAGTCATTACATAAAGATTAAGATGGTCAATTGGCTAACCAATTGCATTGTAATATGAATCTCCATAGGTTGAACCCCACATGGTTAGATGTGTAGATTTATTTGCAAGACTGTGGTTGTGACATACAGGGTCAGTGTGGTATTCTAGGAAAACTTAATATTGCTTAACACAGTTCCATAAGATAAAATTGGATTGTGTAATCAATCCAAGTGTTCTTTATATGAACGCACTGTAAGATTCTTAAATGAAAGATTTCAACTTAACCAGCTTATTAGTATGTATTTGCATGTTTAAAAATAGGTCTAACAGGAGTTGAGTGCATAGAAACTTTATTTTCATAGTTCTATTTGTAGTATTTGATTTATATAACATATGCAACTAGACACTTGACAAAATATGACAGAAAGCAGGACCTGTGGGTTTAAAACCTAAACAACTGATATTTAGTTAGCCTGTCGTGTTGTTCATTGAGACACCTGAATACCTACACTGCCATCATTCTGACTTCTGAATGTAGAGATGATTTAAAAAGAACTTGAGTAAAGGGAGCCTGATAAGAATGATAGTGCTTATAGTTGCCTGTAGATATTCCTTGGTGGCTTCCAGGCTCCCTGCCATCCTAACATTTTATGCACATGTACAACAATAGACCTCCACTGCTATCCTTTATTTGGGTTCTAAAGAATGGTTTTCTGTTTTGGAGCTCAGAACATCACCTCTGCCCTGTTCCTGGATTCTTAAGCAAGTTACTTTCCTTTTAGACTCACCAGTTTGTGTTCTGGGAAATAAGTGTTTTGTGATTGTAAAATAGCTACAATGGTGGTCATGGCCAAAGAGGCAAACCCCAATGACAGCCATTTTGTGGGAGTGCTCATGACCTTCACTCTAAATTCCGTAATGAGCCAGAAAAGTTGGGGATTATCAGATGGTGTAATGTTAGAAGGTGCACTTCACAAAAAGGATGATTTATGCGATTTCTGGTCTTTTTTCCTCAGAAAAAGAATAAATGCCAGTTCATGTTTGCTCTTAAGTTATAAGTACCACATAAAGATACCAACAGAGAGATATTTTCAAGGAACTGAGGATTAAGAAGGGCAATACTACTTAATTTCAATGGGATACATTCTTTCTGCTTGCTCCCATCCACCTTTCCATTCCTCTCAAAATCTGTCTGTCTAGTTTTCTCGTGCATTTATTTATTTATTTGCGCTTTGAGATAGTGGGTTTCAGAAAAAAAGCATAAATAGAAACAAAACCTGCTTCTCTGTGTTAAGTGAACTGAGCTGCAGTAAATGTAATGATAGAGCACACACTTTGCATGCAGAAGGTGCTAGATCCCATCCTTAGTATCTCTAGATAATGCAGGAAAAATCTCTGCCTGAAAACCCTGAAGGGAGCTGCTTGGATTGAAGGACCTGTCCAGTGGGTTTACATGACACAACAAACAAGCAATGATTTTTAAAAAACCATGTTTACTTGTTGTGCTGCCTGAGCCCAGTTTTGTGACTTATGGTTGACAATGGTCTGTTCTAGGGTTTCACCTGATTGCAATTGCCTGAACTCAGACAACACAACCCATCATGGTAGATGCCTCACAATAAGAGAATTACTTGGGAAGTGTAGTAGTTGCCACTTTTTGCCAAGTGGCTAGTAAGAAAACAAGGTTGACAGCTGCCCCTTTTTGTGCAACTGTGGGAGGAATTCCCAGCTCCTTCTGACTCTTGCCTCAGAAATCCTATTTCAGGAAAGAGCTTGACTGCCCAGCTGATTGCCCTTCCCACCCACCCCCCACCCCATCTGAGAGGGAAGACACAAGTAGGAGGTGCTGCCTCAGGAAGAAAGGGCTTAAGCCCACTTCCACTTCCTCTGCTTTAGAGAGAGGCATTCTGTCTCCGCCGTGCAGCATCTGCCAGAGAACCTTCCTCCAAGGTGGATGTAAAGGAAGGGATAAGCCTGACCAGTAGAGATCTCTGAAGCAGGAGGTAGGGATATCAGATCCCCTCTCAGAGGGAGCAATCAACTGGGTGGTGCTGAGAGGAAGGCAGGAGTGGTGGAATCAACTGAGCAGTGCTGCATCTTCCATGCCTGAGAGGCACAGTCTATCTGATTGCATCCCATTGTGCCTGAAACTGGATCAGGTACCTCTGAATCCTGCACTAGAGCTCTTTGACAGCTGCAATGATCCAAACTCCTCTTCCAGTCACAACTGTCAAAGTGGGAAGTCTCATTCCTCCCTGTGGTGTCCCCTGGGATGCTGCCTGGAGGAATGAGAGGAAAGGGGATGGGGGAAGGAGGAAAGCAACTATGATGAGCGTAGTCATCTGTTGGGCTTGTTGTAGCTGCTTGGTATGTCATGGCATCACATTATGGTGATTTACCAGTTTGAGTTGTAACATGTAAACCTACCCACTATGAGACAGCTTCCTATGTTCCTGTGTTAATCACTACATAATAAAAGACTGGCATCAACATATCTGTCTGGGTAGTAATTCCACTTGTCAATGTAGTATTGGAGTGATTTCATGTATGCTACACTAGACTTTTTTCAGATAGGATGTAAACCATCCAGTCAAGCTCAAGGTTGTATCAGGCTGAATGAGTTCCTATTACTTATAAAGTAAGTAAACATAAGCCATGTTTAAAATTGATTACTACTATATTTTAAATGAAGGGTTTTTTTTCATTTAGCCTGCCCTTTCTCTGTAAGTGTGTCATCTTGGTATATGTTTTGAGGAAATGCTGATTTACTGTTGAAGCAATATTTTTCTCAAAGTTTTATTGATTACTTACTTGTCACTGTATAGCTCAACTGTAACTGTCAGGATTGTGGTCAGGACTGGTGATTGCTTGTTGTTTTGTGTGAATACTTGTGTGAATACTTTACACTTGTTATGAGTAAGTGTAAAGTGATGCCCACTGAGGCAAAAAAAAACAAAACAAAACTCAACTACAGGTATACGCTGATGTGATCTAAACTAGCAGTGACTGAGCAAGGAAGGGATCTTGAGGTAGTACTGCACAGCTTGATGAAAATGTTGCTGTGAAAAAGGCAAACTCCATGCTAGGTTTAATGAATAATGAAATAGAATATAGAACTGCCAAAATCTTACTTCCCTTATACAAATTTTGGTGTGATCATACTTGGAGTATTGTGTTCAGTTCTGGTCACTTTACCTCATAAAGGACCTTATTGAGTTGGAAAAAGTACAGAAGATTCTTTCTTTAAAACAGGGGTTTCAAACTCGCGGCCCGCGGGCCAATTGCCGGGACGGCGGGGCACGTGGGAGGGGCCCTGCGGCCTTCAAAGCGCCGGCGGCGCCCGGGCCGGCCGTGGGAAGAGCGGCCCACCCCCACCGCGGGGGTGGAATACTTGATGCAGCCCAGCCTCACCCAGACTCTACTTCTAGCGGCCCCCAGGTAAGTTGAGTTTGAGACCCCTGCTTTAAAACATGCCATCAATCAGCGCTCATCATTATAATATTTCATTAGAATCCATAGACCATTAAAAGTTAGCCAGTTATATTTGCGCAGGAACAGGGAATAAAGAATAGAGCTGTGGTATGCATAAGAGGGGGCATCTTAAACT